CTTTTTGTTTTCTTCGAATACTGTCACTTTTGTTAACTACATTGATAAGTATTGTATAATCCGATTACGTCAAAGCCACTTATAGATGCACACTTACTATACCAAACACTTTGTTATACAATATGTAAATATCTCACTTCCCCCATGCGAAGGGCCTATGTATCCCATAAGCATTAATAAATAATAATAATAATAATATATTATTTCAAAAGTTTATTGATGAATCCACTGGCATTTGAGTTAGCAAATTCCCAGCTTATCATCAACGACTCATTTACAAACAAAATGAAATTTTGAATATTCCCCGAGAAGAGTTTGAAGTTGATTGGTGAAGTTGTTTTATCAAATCAGATCCTTAGAAAATTGGAGTTTTCATTCTTTACTAATTATCACTCTTAATTACTCCGAATTAATTATCCTCAGACATTCATTTAAAAGTTAAGGTGAAAGAATATTTATCCAAGTTTCGCAAGTTCGGCGCGGTGAATGATAATTCTGAGAAGGATTAGAAAACGAGATCATTGCTTAAGCGATGTTCACAATCGCTGGTATTGTAACATGCTATTTATTTATGCAGATGAAGTAGATTAAATCCTAAAAACTGACTGCGTCCTATCATACGAATCATAATTATAAAGGTGGCCTATTCATGGCCTTTCATTACTTCAAGATTTGATTGCAAATTGACATTGGTAGTAAAGTCTCTCTATACAAAAAAATTTATGGAACTACATTTCTGTGCCTCTGAATTTTCAAATTAATTAATTGGATTTGAGGACGGAAAATCGAAATATCGCCACGCAATTGATTGAATAATCGAGTCTCTTTCCATTGACGTGCGCACGCCGAAACGGGTGGAGCCTCGGGAAAGACGCTGGAAATATCACGAAATTGGGGTTAACAACATTTCCGACATTTTTTACGAAAAAACAATTCATCCCAGACCATCGTTTCACATCTCATTTTTATGTAGAATTTTTACGGCTATAATTGGGTATTTTTTTTCAATCCATTGAGTTTGGTCGAAGCTACGAATGTTTTTGTCATTAACCCCAACAAAAATCGTTCGTTTTTAATTTTTTTAGATATTTTCTGCACCGATCTGTGTTTGATCATTTTGATATGTTATTCAGGACATTTTCATCTATCGAATTGATATTTTTTCATCCCCGGTGAAATTATTTCCTAGTTATTCAATTTTTGCGTCTAATTTAACTGGACTATTTCTCAAAATGTTTGGAATATTCAGAAAAAAATTCCCCTATAAAACGAGGTATTTTTTATTTAAACAAATTTTGAAAAAATTAATCAGGTGTATGCGAAGTAAATTTCATTGTGAATCACTCATGTATCATATGAAGAGTCTATGCAACTACATGAAATGCGAAAAAAAAATTCAGTCAACATCTTCAGTAAACTATATCGAACATCCTTTAAAAAATCATTTGTTTATGAAATTTTATTGATTATTTTTCCAACCCAAATATCGGGCAATATAATTGGCCCATTCGACATCACGTGGTACAAGTTACAGGGTTTTCAACTGATAATTTTTTGATAATTTTCTCTGGTAGTTGCTATATAAAAAACAAAACATCATGCAGTCGAATTAACCCCTCGTCAAACTGACAGATTGAATTCAATTGTGGTAATCCGAGGATTGTGAGTTTCGTCTCATGGTCCAATTATATTGCCCGACATTTGGATTGGAAAAATAATCCCCCGAATACCACACGAGCTTCAAAATTAATCGGGTATTTTCCTCAAGATTCCCTGCATACAAACGAAGTCGTCAAGTTTTTCAGGAAAAATCACTCGTGCTTCGCACTCGTGATGTTTTAACCTGAAAAACTTGACTCCTTCGTTTGTTTGCAACGAACATATCGGAAAATACCCGATAATTTCGAAGCTCTTGTGATATTACAAGTGATAAAACGATTGCAAATACAGAAAAATGCTTGAGGACTTACCCCCTTTGAAATCACGGGTGTCCTATAGAAAAAAAATTCCTGGTCGGAAAAGTTGACTTTTCAATTGTTTTTTAATAGTTTGCTAATAACAAAACAACTCATGGTAATTCGGTTCGGGAACCTCCACATTCGGATTCCGCGGTTCAAAACAAAATAGAATTCAGTAGAAAAATTTTCTCGACCGAAAATGTATGCAAAACCCCTCTTCCCTTCCCCCCTCCCAAGTGCATAGATTATAGTTTCCATAGTTTCGGCTTTACATTACTATAGCAGTCAAGCTGCAGGGACTCCCTTTGCATATTTATAATACACGACATATACATGAATTTCCAATTAGAAATAGGTTGCGAAATTCGCGCCCATTTCCCTAGCAATGCCATCTGTCGGTGATCTTATCGAAGCTTGTTCTCATTCGAGTTCAACTTCTGGAAAATGGATTCTCATTCGATTTCGATTCCAGTTCCATTCGAGATTCTCGTTCGTTCTCCGTTATATATAAGGACAACTGTAACGTATGAAACGTCAAATTTCAAATCAATCAAATTAAGATTTGTTCGTCATCTCCTTATAAAATAAAAGTGTGGGGCTCGAGCTGCAGCATCAATGGAAATAGGGCATCGAGCCCCACGCTTTTATTTTATCACCAGATGACGAAGAAATCTTAAATTGATTCATTTGAAATTTGATGTTTCATACGTTATAGTTGCATCGTTAAATTTCGGAATCATCAATTGGCGTCATCTAGATCTACTGAAGAACAAATCCGCTTGTACTCCGTCAATTCTGAGGGACTCCCCTTGGAGAAAATCAATTATTTTATAGTCTTCCGTGCAGTATTATACCTGTTAAATAAAAGCGTTTCTTAAAAAGTTTTTGTTCCATTATATATTTTTTTCTATTATATTTGTGAGAGTAGGTTAAAAAAACTTATATTTTTTGTTTCTTTGACGCTTTATTCATGAGTATCGTAGTTATTCACCAACAAAGCGTGAATTTGCCGAACAACCCTCTCCCTTGGAAAATTCTCATCTTTCCTGTAACGTGTAAAATGGAACAATAAAAATTATTGCAATTGATTCAGTATTGAACCCGTCAGTAGGTGCGCTCTTCATATACGGAGAGAAATGTTCAGTAAAAATGACGGAACTCACGATTCGCTCACCGATTACGGAATCGACTTAGAAAATTTAAGTGACGGTATCGTAATTTTTCACAGGAAATTCAGATAAATATTACGGAACGCTCTGGAAAAATTCCGTGACAGTTCCGTAAAGTTTTGTACAACCACATTTCGCTCCAGAATTACGGAAAAGATACGTAATTTTTATTAAATATTTCTCTCCGTGTAGTATCTCACTCGCAGTGCAGAGACGTCCTTGCGGTTGACTAGCATTGCGTGAAAGAAATGCTCATACCGCGCCTACTGACAGGTTAACGCATAATAGATGGGAACAATTTCGTCCCTTGGCGTAAGAGCGATTTGGTTTTTTCTTACGCCGTCAGTTTGCAAATAAGAGTCTACGCGTAATAAATTCACATCTCCTGTCTCATTTGATATTGAGCGATCAAATTAAATGGGATGGATTAGATGTTCAATACTTTCGCCTGACCGTATTAATGACAAGAAAGGAATATGATTTCTCTATAGGGGATCTTTGTTATAAGCTTGCACTTTTCAAATAACAACTTACTAATAAAGCGTCAGAAAAAAAAACTATCGAAATTTTCGTCCCATAATAATCCCTCCCCGCCACTTGCCTCGCCCTCGAGCTACCCTCGCAGATGATTCATTGAATAGTCTGTTGCCCTGTATATTCAAAACTTCATAAGCAATATAAAACTAACTACTCGCCCCTGCGAATCTCTTACATATCCTTGATAGGAAAATTCCGATGAAAACACTCAATTCCGCTTTTTATGGAATAATTAATTGAAGTTTTCTAATACTACGATGGGGAGACGTTAAGTAACAAAAAATAACATCAGGGTGAATAATGTCCCCGAAAAAGCTTGAATGTACCGTGATAATAGTTGTAGAGTCGTGTAATAAGTACACTGCTAGTGTTAACTGTATAGCTATTTCGAATAGCGCCAACTAAAATCTCGAAACCCTAAATTGGTTATCGTGCTCCAAATGCCGCGTTTTATCAATTGATCAAGTTCACCTTTCCTCATTTCTCCATATCAAAATATGTTACGCTAGATATCCTCTCCTGTTCTGAAATAAATCCTGGAAATTTGTTCATGTGTCATTCGACTTTTTTTTCATGAGAAGTGACACAACAACAGCCAACGAAATTTGTGTGATATTCACGTGCTGTCAAAGTCACGCCAAAATAGTTGTCTTCATGTTTTTGAATAACACAATCATAAAAAGGTGAAGATATGGAAAATTAAAAGAATTGTACGGGTAACCAATTTGTTTTACAATTTAACAATGCGGTGGAGTAGAAATGTCAAACCATCTGCGAAGGCGATGAGAGCCGAAATCAGATGACGCAATAAACTACCTAATTGTCAGCTAGATTGAATTGCTTATTATAACTCAATATGTACCAATTTCCTACTGAATAGCAGAAATTGAATGGAATATTTTCTGGTATTCTTTGGACAAGGAAAAACCAATCATGAAAAAATTATCCGAAAATGATATAATTGGGGAGCCAAATGTGACTTTAACAACAAAGCATACTGCTTCTATAGTATATATTCAGAGTATCGCGTAAGAATTATCCCAGAAGTAGATCAGATTCATGAAGTGAAGGGGGAAAAATCATCTCATTTATCACATTTTGCCCTTAATTTTGAATAATGTGTGGAAATGAATCCTTTCTAAGGTTTTCTTTCCACACAAACAAAAATATCGACGCTATCTCAACCCAATAGGCTTCTTCTGAATAAGGCCATTCCCATGATTTATTCTCAGATATATTCATTATTTGAATACCATTTTCATTGAAAACGAATTAAAACAAGCTTCGCATGTGTCAGTTATTGGATACGGAAAAATGAAACAAAATAATAATTTACCTGCGGCGTCCACGTAGAAGGTTGATTGACAGACCTCGAAATACTTTTACTTCTCGACCTCCAAATCTTCTTCGCTACCAGTCGACTACCATGATGGACAACGCTGCTAGATGACTTACTCTTCTGCATCGCTGCTCCACCTGTGGAAGTGGGAGAAGTAAGAGCAGGTGAACCTGGTGCAGAGTGAGGTTTATCCTTATGTGTATTAGAACCATGAAGGAGATGGGATAAGAAAGATTGGTGATGTTTAGGCGTGCTAGGCCCCTCTGAACCAAGGCCTGCATCCATGCTACTCCGTGAACTGGCATTTCTGCTAATAGGTGAAGTAGTTGTGTCCGCATCTGAGAAATTTTTACCAATTTCAGGAGACAATGATGCATGATCCTTGTACCTATCTATCCAAGTAATCTCGGTTTGAGATCCTTTGCTGTGGTCTTCATCATCTCCAGGCTTCGTGATTTCCCCCTTCGCCTTGCTATTGCTTAAATTCCTATCGTAATTTACTCCCTTAAATCGATCTATCTTATCAACATCTGATGACTTCTTCCTTGCCATTCTCAAATATCTCTTAATCGTATCACTGACAGACGGAGATACATCATCATTTTCCACACTGCTTCGTCTCCTTGAGCTCTTTCCACTATCCCTTGGAGACAAACTCACCTCTCTCTCTCTCTCAGCATAAATTTCCTTCAATCCTTCCAGCATCTCTTTCGTTACAGTATCTGTCTGAATGCATGCGTCAACCGAGCCTCGATCAGTACTAGGGCCTTGCACCGCAATTAATGGAGGTGATGTAAAATCCCTCTTTCTATGTGTCCAATAATCATCGGAGTCTTTCTGATCAACACTACTGCGGGGATTCCCCCACCATCGAGGTGGTGAAGTATATGGTCCCGTTGCCCTAGAACCTCTGAATCCTCTTGTGCATCGCAAATCAAAATACAATTTCTCCAAGAGCTTTCTGTCAGTTAGAATCCCAGAAATGATATGCTCTCGATTATGAGATTTGGCATAATGACGATTTAAAGTGTCAATCAGTGATTTGTGGACATAATCCCCACGATAAGATAGCACTGAGGGTGGTTGAGTGTCACTAGAGTTGGAGGGTCCTTGAGATTTCTCGGGAGATTGATCACATTTGCCTTCAGACATTATCATGTTCAGGTGCTGCTGAAGTCTGTTGATGAGGCTTTGATAATCGAAAGGCAGTCCAGCACTGATGGGTGGTACTTCAGGCTTGCTATTCTTAGACTCTGAGCATTCAGCAGCTCCGGAAAACTCTCCTTGCAAATTCAAATATTTTTGCAACATGTCTGCAAGTATCTTTGCCTCAGCGTCTTCTTGGGGAGCTCGTCGTCGAGCAACAGGAGTGGTAGGAGTACTACCGCTTGATAATAACCAATCTCTCTTAGTTTTAACGACATCAAAACGCCCACCTAACATCGATTGGAAAGTGAACAGCTGACCGGAGCTTCTGAGGTCATCAGCCTCGTCCGCCGAGCTTGCTTTAGTCCGGCAGCTTCCACCTTTATGCAGTCTACGATGTCTATGCGTCCGGAAGCCTAAACTACCGGGATACGACGCCTTCCTCCAGAGAAGAAACTTGGGCTCTTTTTGGCAGACTTCCTGAAAGTACTGTTCAATTTTAGGGATATCCTCCAGCCGATTGTGCGTACCATCGGGTATCAATCGTCTTCCCGCATCTGCCATATAACGCCATGTTTTTCGAGTTAACAACCATCTCTCCTTCATTGGCTTACTTGACCTTTTGGTCCTCCGTTCCTTTGAGGATGATAATGTACCATGGTGGAGATCCGCATTATCGCTGTTATCACGACGTGAGCGCCTCTTTGCACTTATACCACCGGGATGCTCCGCCATTGCAGCGTCCCACTGTTTCTTCACCACGCGCACCACTTTCGCGGTTATGATTTAGCAACAATTTATCACTAATTATCAACTTGCCACCATCACACCTGACATGCCAAAATATCCGGCACGCCTCACACATTCACGTAATGTAGTTTTCTTACTTGCGGGGTGATTCGAAGACACTGGAAGGAGATGAGCCAATTAATTGATCTTTGAAACTCAATCACCTTCTTGAGGAATGTGATAAATGTAAAAGACACTTCTTACTAGTCACAGGGGACAAAGATGTTTTCCTTTCCACAGCACGTAAAACTGTTAAGTTAAGGAGGCGGTGTGTGTTGAGCAGCGATTCCTCGATCTTCTATTTTGGTATCGGGCACCGATCCGATCATCCGAGAGATTCCCGTAGCCAAATAGTTGAGCGGGTAAACTTTAAAAACTGGGGATATATTTATCTCTGAAGATATCCAAACATTTAGAGATCTCGTTCGTACATGGTTCAGTATACTTTCTAGATTATACTCAGGAATGGTCACTAATTTCACTTGGAAGTTTGATTAATGATCACTTTTTTTGGAATCTTCCAAAGATTTATCCAAGATATGGTTTCATGTGTTTAGGCGCTGACTTAAATTATTCATTTGTAATTACATTTTGTTTTTGAATTAATTTTCACTTCGAAATTGAGAACTTTACACGTGGAAAGATCATTATAGCACTATTATGATTGCAAGTAAAAATCTGAACTGATGCAGTTCGCTGCTGTTAAATGAGCAAAAAGCTCTGGTCCAATGGCCTGTCTCGCGAGCCGGCAAGGTGGAGGCTGCCCAAGGTACACGACTGCCGCTTTCAGGGCGTCGCGACGACGTGAATGTTCTGTTTCTAAAATCGTCTACATACCGCTCTCGTACCTCGTCCCGCTCATCCTTCTTCTGATTCTCTAGTCTTCGTCATTTTCGCAGTTCTCTTCTTCTCATTTTCTTCGTTTCTTTGCTAATTTTCTCTGTATGTTCATACTGAACAATTCTTCAAGTAGAGGTGAGTCTCTTCCGCTAGATTTTGGAGTACCTGATGCATACGACGACGATGACATCTGGTTCAGTGATAGATTCTAGGATTATTTTGGATCTTGTATAGATAGAGATGATAGTGTAGGTGAAAGGATTCTCAAGAAAATTATTGGAGGGTTATTGGATTGCATGATTGGAAATTCACTTGAGGCTCTATGATACTTCCTATACTTTAATGAAAATATTTTAACTGAATGAATTGTGATGATTTATGTCGCGCCGTGCAATAAGTCGAGTTTATCGCACGACTTGACATAAAATATTATAGAGCACTCGATAATAATTTCGTTTTCAACGAATGTATAGTTTACAGGCTGAGCCGAAGGGGAGGTCTGTACACACATTCGTTGAAAACGAAATTTGTGCCCTTGTACTCTAATGTACTATTTTTTGTCAAAGAAGAGCTTTGCGGGAGAATCTGAATTCGAAGTTCGAGGCAAACAGTATTCTTCAAATTCAGGATCTAATGACTAAAATAGTCTAGTTGGTTTCAATATGCAGAGACAGTTATATTTCAATTTCAGACCTGTGTATAGGAGAGGTTATGAAATATTCTGTTTTGAATTTAATCGAAGTCGTGATCCACCCACCATCTGCGAGGGAAAGAAGAAAAATTTTAGTGTTCGCGATATTTTGGCAATGTGACGCGATTGAAGAACCTCGGCCTAAATTTCATGAGATTCGTTCATAAGTGGATCGCCTACGAGGTGATCCCTTGGGGTCATCAGTGACGTAGAAACTGTGTGTAAACTTTGGTCGGTTACACAACAAATTCTCCCTATAACGTGTTTCACGATAAGCGTTGCAGTCTATTCTTTAAATAGTCATGGTTGGCGACATTTCATAGCTTGGTGGGGATTCTTCAATGCAAGAGAAACAAATGAAATCGTATTAATACTACTTTTGTATCGATGGCACATCTTGCTCCACTCTGAGGAACGTTGTAGCTCAAACGGTTTAAATGAAGAATGCACTGGATAGCTTAATTTCAGAATCAATACTTTCAATGCAAGAACAAAATATTGTTACTTGAAAATATTTCCTTATAATACTTGAATAAAGAATAATCTATTCCTGATTCAAAAATAACAGTTATTATAATATTATTATTAAATATTAGAATAACGATTATTATTAACATGTTAATATTAGTTATTTTAATATTATTCTTGATTCTAAAGTATTCTTAATTTACGATTATTTTTCCGTATGATTGAAAGTTTTAGAATCGAAAGTTCAGAATCAATTCATTTTTTTTACGCTAAAATTTATATTTATAAAATATTCATAGCTGAAATTCTTGTAAATTGATCGTCAAATATTTATGAATCTTCAATTGTCGTTCACCTCTATATGTGTTAAGTTATTCCCCGATGGGTGGGAATTCTTATTTGCTATTAGGTGACGTAGTCTATTGTGTCTGCGAAGATGGGAATTTTTCCCATTTCTCATGTGGTAATCTGGGGGAAAAAATATGCTTGAATATTTTTGGTCTCCGGTAGTTTATCCGTTTTATAAACCATGGATTTCAATGTCTAGTTCTACGTGAATCATGAGTAATAGGAGAAAGAACATTGTTAGTATAAATACAAAGTTATTAGACCTACGTATAAAAATAGTAATGATGGCCGATTGAAATATAGGATTCACAAATTCATAGCTATTTTCAACTTTTAAATTCATGGAGCAACCTCTAAGAATTCAATTCAAGGGGAGAGAATGTGACAGAATTGGGAACTATTATGCGAAGTATATAACAGTCTTAACACAGTAAATGGGTCTCGATAAATCCTCATTCGGGATCGACCCCGCATTCTCAAAGAAAACGAATAAACTACTTTTTCTTCTTTCCTGGCCCATTGAAAAAAGAACTCTGTGTTTTCCGAAATTAGCACCGCCCAATCTAATCGATTTGCCAGAATTTTTTTTAAGATATTGAATCAGACATCCAAACTATTGGAAAATGATTATTAAAATTGGTACTCCACCTTCGAATTTATTGAATCCATGTCATTGAATTTTTTTTTTCACATAAGAAAAAGAATATGAAATGAATGATGATTATAAATAATGAATGTTTCAAAAATTTTGAATGCCAATCCTGAAACGTCGTCAAAGGATTTGAATTTTTTTACAAATTGTACTTTTGACCAGCTCTTACAATTTCTCTGCATGACTTTTTATTATAGCTTTTAAGATAAAGATGCTGGAGAATTGAGCAGTCCATAACCAATTTCGGGAGTTTTTCCGTTGAGCACGCATTTTAGATGAAGCTTGCACGGTAGACAACCCGGCGGCATTAACCGTGCTTTGACAACCACAATGCTAAAGATAGCGAGTATCTCTCAAACCCACGCCTTTTAACTACTTTCTTCAAGATTTCTTAATTTTCTATTGCGTCCTCAATTCAATTTTTCCCATATTCTCGATTGCAATTTTTTTCCTTCGTCAAAAAGGCCTTTTTTTACGAAAAACATCCAAAAATCAAAGTGAATGTGAGCTCCGTTTCATCCAATTTTTTTTTCAACTTTTTCTTTCCATCATGTTTGTGCTTTTCAAAAATTAAAAAAGGGAAAAATAGAAAAACGACAAAAATTCAATAAAAGAGTTGGAATAAAAATTTTCGGATAGAACTAAGCCAACACCCATTTTGATTCGTGGATATTTTTTATTATAGAAAAAGAGTTACTTTGAGGAAGAAAAGAAAAAAACTACAGTCGAGGTAGGGGAAGGGTGTCCAATTTGGAATTTTCAAACTTTCTTTGCGCTTTGAGAACATTTCCAATGATGTGAAGTAATTGAGATGAAAATAAAACCATCTCGATAATCGATCAAATTACCCAGACAATTGTTTGAAAAAATCTTATTGAATTCGAAATTATTTTTTCAACATACATGCATGAAAAAGTCCAATTTTTTTTTACTTATTTTCGTGTATAAAGCGAGTACCCTTGGTAGACTTTTAGAGTAATTGAAAAAAGTTCACTTTTTTTAACTTGTAAAAACAGCGATGTTAAAAATACCCTTTTTTTAACTCGTTAAAAAAAGCCCCCTTTTTAACCTTACTTTGAGAGCTATTGATAGTCCCGTCGTTCCGCCGACCGAAAGAAGATTGACGATTCTGAAAACATTGGTCTACGGCTCGTTGTGCAATAGTATTGGTATATAATTCGTGTCATAGTGGTCATCATGATTGCTTGGGCTGGAGGCCTCATCGTTGCAATTTCACGTTTAAATTTATTTTTATTTTGCAATTTCAAGTTTAAATTATATAAAGTAGTATTTCATAGGACACTTTTAATATAATTGCAAACAATTCATGATCTTATTTTCTATGATATCAATGATAGCTTTCCTGAAAAAAATCGTTCATGTTTTCCTATGTAAGAGAAATTTCACATTGGGAAACAAACTTTTTTGGTTTTCGAGAAAAAAAAATATTTTAATACTATTCTTTCACGTCATTCTTCTGATTCTCTTATTTTGTCGACTAAAATTATCTCCGGCCATCCAAAATTAAGGATTCGGATTTTTTAGGCTTACGCAAACCCTCGCCCTAGACGAGACTCGCATCGACGTGTACCGCTCGGCTTTTCGTAGCCTACGATTCTCGCTGAAAAAATCATACTACTCGCCGATATCCTCCCACTTTATACACTTGTAACATAAGATACTATTTTGCATTTATGTTATAAAAAGAATTTATTCATGCTCAATACAGTGACGAAAACATTGATAGTTAAGTTTATTTGTAAGCATTCTTTATAGATTGATGAAGGCTATCAAGGAACCATCTCAGCATTCCACTAAAAACCAATCATTGATCTTGGCAAGGGCGCTGATTCAACGGAAATCTGTAACATTTGTTTATTTTGTTTTAATGTATCGTTAACTGCCTCACACTTAGTCGGTCGCGCAACCAGTAAAATCTTCTACCTATTGTCCATAACGTTATTTCGCATCATGATAAAATTCATATTGATACTGTTACAAGTTTCATAAATGCCATTGAATGTGTGAGAAAACATCTTTTTACAAGAACGAACAG